TTCGGATGGCTGGAACGGAATTTTACAGAAGGGGAATTTCCAAACTCCCAGAACGCTGGGAGAAATGTGTACAAAGAAGTGGCGATTATGTGGAAAAATAAAGAAAGGTCTGTAGATTGAGGTGTATTTGGTTTGTCAATAATACCGTATTTACGCATGTATAGGCCGCACATTTTTTTGCCAAAAATTCAAGAGGAAAACTGGGGTGCGGCTTATATTCGAAATATTCGAAATCACACTTCATTTAAAAAAATATATTCATAATTAGTAACACAGGGTGTAATACTCCTGAAATAATATTCCAAGAAAATTATTTTTTCTATAATTTCTGTCTCAAAATTGTGCTGCGGCCTATACATGCGTAAATACGGTAAAGCATGTTACTTTACAAAAAATTGTTGCTCATGACTTTCAGTGCGACCTACGTATCTCTTCCGGAAATCGTACTCTTGACTTCTTAACATGGACAGACACTTCCAGACGCCGCACACAGTTAAATATCATGCTACCATCCCATACTGTGATCGTTATGTGGGATTTGAGGTTCTCACAGCGGTGGTTATGAAGAGTTCTATCTTCCAGCATATAATGCCGTGTAGTCCGCTGAAGTTGACTGACTTTCCGGGAGAACATATCGCCTCCATCTTCAGGGCGGATACCTCCACGCCCCCTGCCATCACGGCGTAACAGTGAATTTACATGCTTTTCACGTATAATTTCCTTAGAGGCCAATGAGATCGACCAAAAATCGTCCCGCGATCGACGCGTTGGACATGCCTGGTCTAGGAACCCTCAACGTCTCTATGGGCCTCCACGGCCTGGTACAGGGATAGCTTTACTTTTACTTCTTTTTTACTCATGGAGCTGAGCCCTTCTTTAGGAGCTGCCAATTCTGCAGCTACTGAAGAATTTCCCAGCATTTTATGGAACCCGAAGGTTCATTACCGCGTTCACAAGAGCCCTCCACTGGTCCCTATCATGAGCCAGATCAATCCAATCCATACCATCCCATTCTAACTCTTTTAAGATCCATTTTAATATTGTCCACCCACCTATGTTTTGGTCTTCCCAATGGTCTCTTTCCTTCTGGCTTTCCCACCTACATCCTATATGCATTTGTCTCCCCCATTCGTGTTACATGCCCTGTCCACCTAATCCTCCTTGACTTGATCATTTTAATTATACCTGGAAAATAGTACAAGTTATGAAATTCCTCATTATGTAGTTTTCTCCAAACTCCTGTCGCTTCATCTCTCTTGGCCCAAACATTCTCCTCAACACCCTCAGTCTATGTTCCTCCCTTTATGTCAGAGACCAAGTTTCATACCCATACAGAATCACAGGCAAAAATATAGTTTTGTATATTTTATTTTTATGTTTTTGGACAGCAGACGAGAAGACAAAAGTCTCTAGACTGAATGGTCAATTTGCAATCACTCACCAGAAAGTTACATAGAAAGCAGCCAGTGAAGTCAGGTGGCAAGCAATTCACTATGCTGGAAAGCAAGCAGTGAGCCCAATGGTTAGTCAGTCAGTCAGTCAGGCAAATTACAAAGTCTACGCGCAGCGTAGTTGGTTGAGGGGCTATGCTACAAGCCAGAAGGTCGCAGGTTCAAGTCCCGATGAGGTCATTGGATTTTTTCCACTGACCTAATCCTTCCAGCGGCACTATGGCCATGGGGTTGACTTCGCCTCTAACAGAAATAAGTACCAGGAATTAATTAAATCATTTTCCTGGGGAGTAAAGCGCGGCCAGCACGTAAGGCTGACAACCTTACCACCATCTTTGAGCCGATTGTCTAGAATGTGGAACCCTCAACGTCTCACAACCCTATGGGTCTCCATGGCCTGTTACAGGGATAGCTTTACTTACTTTTATGTTTAAGTAATGAAACTGGCAGCACTGCAAAATATGAGTCATTACGTGATCGATGGTGAGTGCTGCCATATCTAGGTACATGTCTGAACTCTACATAGTTGAAAACCTGTCTTGACAAATCTAACAAGTGCAGAGCTGCTGTGCTTTAAACGAAGTAGTGTTTGGAGAGCTCATCATAAAAATAAAAGCTAAACATCCTGTACAAAGAATCAACCTAAAATTTTTGTTGAATATGTATGTATGCGTGGGTGCAGGTATGCACATAACCAAAATATCTAAAATGTTAAAGCAAGCACGCGGAGAAGAGGCTATATCATGACCATGTTTCTGAATGGTTTTCTGAATGAGGGGATGAAACTAAATGTGACAGCCAACATGGATATCCAACAGCATCAAAATCAGTTGGAAACAACTAAAAGATGAGAACTCTGGTGCAGAATGATCGTGTTACTGTTAGAATGATTACAGAAGAAGTAAGTATGTTTTTCTTAACTTCGTCCGTTCCTCTTGTACCTTTATGGCGTCGAGGTTGGTTCTTTTTTTTTCATTTTGATCATTTTTACAGATGGCAGGACTCCTTGGATGAGTGATCAGCTCATTGCAAGGCTTCTAGCTAAACACAGAATAAACACATACCAAACATCCATACCTTGTGTGGGATTCAAACCCATGATCCCGGCTTCTGAGGGAGTGAAGACAGTACATGCCTTAGACTGCTTGGCTACCATGACTGGCAAAACTGAGTATCAACAGAGAAAAATTTTGATTGAAGAAAATCTGTGCAGATATGGTGTCCAACAACCACACAACCAACTGCAGCTGAGGATGCAAGTTTGAACTGATCTTTAACAATGAATTATGATGAATGACAAATAGCTGAAGAGTCGTAACTTGGATGATATTTTTTTAAATTCGCTTAGTGGGGGGTGGAGTCCAACTGGGTCCACTCGGTACGGCAGCCACTGATAGGCCTATTGTAGCCTGCCCCAGGTGATTATGATGGAGAACTTGGTGGAATGAAGATCGGCAGGGGAAACTGAAGTACTTGGAAAAAACCCGCCCCCACCACGACTTTGTTCACCACAAATCCCAAGACCCGAGATCGAACATGTGCCGCCGTGGTGGGAAGCCAGAGACTAACCGCTTGAGGTATGGTGTGGCCTAACTTGGATGAAGTTGGGTTTCTTATTTTGAACTAGAGCCAAAGCCCCATGACATGCACTGGAAATCTCCAGGCTGACCCTGCCCTAAAAGAGCAAGAATGTTAAAATCAAAGGTCAAGATACTTCTGATTTGTTTCTTTGAATTCAAAGGGAAAGCACACTGACAGTCTATCCCACCTGGTCAGACTGTCAACTAGAACTTTTTTATCTCCAAGTTTTGGAATGTCTGGTACAGTGGGTTTGCAGAGCGAGGCCAGAATCACTCCTCCTGTAAGTGGATCCTGCACCATGATAATGCATTCTCACACAGCACTTTCTGTCAAGGAGTCTTCTGTGGAAAAAAGATCATGATCCTGGAACATCTTGTTTACACGCCAGAACTTTCTCCCTGTGACTTTGTCCTCTTCCCTACCATGAAAAATGATCTCAATGGATCACATTTTAATCAGGATAAAAGAATCAAAAGGTTATGAAGGCTATTCTGAACAATTTACTGAATGATTTTTTGAAATGCTTCAACAGTTGGAAACAACACTGAATTGACGTAAGGTTTGCAGAAGGTGACCACTGCAGTTTGGAATAAAACTGAATATAGAGCTGCCTGTGAGTACAGTAAATATTAAATTATCAGACCTCATAAGTAACAGTGGCATGTGATCTATATTATTTTGTGTACTGCTGATGAAGAGCATATGTGCCTGCATCTCTGCTGTAGGTTCCTGACACCCCTCCCCCCAGGTTCTTCTAGCAATACAAAGTGCCTAGTCCACTCACATTCTATGAAGGTTACATACAGTATATAAACAGTGCCTTCTAGTCTGAAGTCACTCAGTCTGCCTGAAGCAGTCCATTTGAGTGTGACTGTTGAGCTAGAAGTGGCATCCAGCTTTTGTGGATGGTAAAACAGTATGTACTGTCAGACACAAGTAAATCAATGCAGGGAGAGAATAGTGCAGTAGCATGGATTGAAACAGTGGTGAACTGAAACAGATGTGAAGATCGTGACAAACTGAAAGTAACTACTGAAAAATGAGATAAACATTACAACATCATGACAAACTGAAAGTAACTACTGAAAAATGAGATAAACATTACAACATCATGACAAACTGAAAGTAACTACTGAAAAATGAGATAAACATTACAACATGTGTCAGTGGTTTACAGTCAGTAATAAAGTGATTTATACAGCGAATGTAAAGTTTTGTATTAAACTATGCACAGCACTGATCAACATCATTACCTCCAATCTCCATTTGTACCCCTCCTTCTTACCTCTACAGTCCTGTGGATCTAATCCCTTACATTATTCATCCTGTAAAGCATCCCAAGAAATTTGGATCCTCCACCCAGAACAAAGTGGCAATATTAGAAACAAAGTATAACACCACTGGTGCCACAAACATGCGGGTTATCAGTTATGATACACTATATTTGTTACACGCAATAAGAGATGTTTTTAAGAAGCAACACTCAGGAACTTATATTTCAATGATATTTACAATAATATAACAAGCATACACATGAACTGTCTCTCTTGATC